TTGTGTCTCCTGATGGAAAGCTGACTACCAGACGGATGGAGGAGGAGCACATGCATTAATTTATTAGTGTGTGAGAATCACTGAAAACTGTAAACAAGTGTGTTTTGAAATATTCATAAACACATGTTGTGCACTTGAGCTGTATTGCTAATTAAGGTATCTCTTCAAAGAAAACATCATGGGAATTATGTAAAGTATTCCTGAACAATGCAGGTAGGACCAAGATGTCAATATCTTTTGAAGAGTACTTATGGTACTTGTGCTACTCCTCTTACTCCTCCCGCTTTTTCCAGGCCCAAAGTGACCAAGCAGCTAATATACCTGGAAGATTAGAGTACGTCACCCATTTTAATGCAGGAGAGAACGCATCTGCCTTTTCCTAGTCATATTTGTCATATCATATTAATTGAAGTCTTTTATTCTTTTTTCAAAATGAACAGGCCATGAAATATGGGATTGAGTGACACATCATAAAGCAATTGAGAGCTTGGTTAGTGTAAATTACAGAAATGTTAATTCAGCATTGGATGAGACCTTCCTGTTTTATGAGTCTTTCTAAATCTACTGCTTACTTTTTATTGAACGTTTCAATACTCTGTGGGCTATTTTATTACAAGAAGTAGTAAGAGACTTACTTTTAGTTCTGGTTTTTAGTGTGTGGGTTGAATGTCGTGGATCTATAAATGCCAGTGTCGATATGCACAGATAAAAACATGATACTGTAGAATTTTAAATATATTTTATATAAGTAAGTTTAGCACTAGACTCTTACTTTAAAAGAGATTGTATTCTTTGCTCTGTCATTACCTGTATTCCAGGTGTACATAGAAATTATCATTGTGGACAAGTAAGGTGGCAGCTCCTTTAGTCTTGTGCAGTCTGGGTAGTATAGGGGTTGAGAAGAGGTCCGCTAGGTCAGTCTGTGGGATAAAATTACGGAATGGTATAGATCACAAAATTTACAAAGGTAAATGTGGGAATGGTAGTCTCGGCTATCACAGTGGAGAAAAGGATTCCTGAAAAGTTTCATTAGTCACTCCAGGGGAAGGAATTGAACTGGAGAGAGACAGACTTGCTGTGATTAGGTGGCATGTATTCAGAAATGCAGACAGAACAGTCATAGTGAAACCTGGCTATGGATGTCAAATTGACAGATTCTGTGTGACTTTTCAGCAGGTTGAATATTAGTATAGCTATTCTTACTCAGGAAAAGACTTTAAAGTCGTCATAGACAGCTGTCTGAAAACTTCAGTTCTGGGTACTTGCGATCAAGCAAGCAAAAAGAACTATGTGAGTGAGTGATATGGGGAAAATTATGGTATTATGTAATTCCACGATATGCACACGGTTTGAATACTGGTTACAACTTGGTTCAGTCTGACTTAGAGTTGAAAAGAATTGGAAAAGGTACTGCATATGACAGCAGTTGTAACTCTTGCATAAAGAGGGACTGAATTGATTAGATTAGAAAATCTCTCAGGAAGGGAAATGATAGAAATGAAAAACCCCACAAAACTGGTTCTGGGAAATAGTAGCAAAATTACTACTTCTTATTAATTGAGAAAAAAAGGATTTCACAAAAACTTAAGTGACTGAGCATAGCAGTGTACTTTCATGATATATATTCCTGAATTACAAGTAAATGACTTAGAGAGGTTTGGATGAATTAGTGAAAGATGAATCCCCAAGTGGCTATTGCAACACCTTATGCAAAAGCCTTTGTAAGCCACCATCTGCAGGAATCTGGGAGCATATACCACAGAAAAAAAGCTGTATTTCGTCATTCTTTTCCCCCTCCCACTGCTCTTCCTGCCTTTCTTAAGCATATGGTACTTACTGGTGTGGAAACTGGATATGGTACCAGGTAAACTTGTTCTGCCCTTGTGCTAAAGTTCATATGTTCTATGAAGAAACCAGAGTTGTGACATGTTGGTACCTAAGAGTGGAAGTATCCTACAAACTAAGTATTGCAGATCCACTTTGCTTATTTCCGTTGAAGTGCTTTGAGCCGTTGTGTGAAGTTCAAGTTAGATGGAATGGAACCCTGGCCAGAACTGGCAGCACAAAAAAGGGTGCAAGAAGCACTAAGAGGTACTTTGAGAAAGGAATAGTCTAGAAAAAGGAGGTGAGCTCTGTCCTGAAGTAAATGTAGACTGCAGTGACGTAGAAAGAAAGGGATCTAATTCTTTAAATCTAAATGTGTAGTGAAGTTAGCAGGACAGAGAAGCAAATAAATCAGGTGGTTCTGATATATAGTATTTCAACAGCCGTTTATCCAGTAAGGATGTCTTGAAAATTACAGCTGGAATAGAAGGGAAGCAGGATAAGAGCATACATAAGAATTCTGAAAAAGTCAACAGGCTTGCAGATGAAAGAACTGAACATTTAAAAATCTGTCAAGAATAATGATGTGTTGCATGCTCTCTCTCAATATGGGTATACATTATATAGATGCAAAAAGTTTAAAAGCTGAAACTAGTGAACTAGGGTGTCTTATACTTCACGAAGATCTTGATGTAACAAGCAATGCAGAGACCTGATTGGATAATAAAAAAACAACGTAAAGAAGCGAAGCGTTACTTTAAAACTATACTTTCAGACTTCTACCTGTGTGTATACACAGAAATAGATTAAACTTGTCTCCTTGTGTACCTTAGAGAAACAGTATAATGGCAGTTGACCTATAGTATCATGGAGTGTTACTTTCTAGAATATACAAGCAAGAAAAATTATTTTTGTGTGAGGAATTTTAAAGACAAATTTAGTTAGCTAAATCCAGAATTGCAGCACTTAGCTATTTTTGGAAGATGCCTGAAGTCAGTAGGCATCTCCTTGTTTAACATGAATATTTTCAGAAGTACTGTAAGTTATCTTTCTATGTTTCTCGGAGCTGTACTTGTCCAAGCAAAGAGGTGTCTATTACATGATGAAATAGGAAATGAGAAGAAGAAAGGAAAAAAAAAAAAAGGCCAGATACTGCAGTAGAGCACCTCTGTCTCTAGAGCAGCCCAGTTCAAGTGTTCTGGGTTTAAACGCTCCAACTAAACAGTGACTGGATCAGACTCAGAAAATGCTTTTGCAGCACATTCAATTCTTTTTGTGCAGAAAGAAACTGAATAGTAATCGGATAAAACACAATACCCTGGGGCTGTGCGGTCTCCAACTAAGAATTCTCCCATACTAAACAAAGAGAATCTTGATCCTGGCTTAGTCTTATCTACCAATGTGGAGTTTTTTTGGTATTTATTTACAACTTCTAGAAGCAAAATGCTTCTGTCTGTGATCGTGTGTAGCACATTTGGGTTGTTTCTTTTGAAGACAGATTTGAAACCCCTTCAGAATGTGGAAAACATCAAATCACTGAAACCACTTTTTGCCCTGTGCACCAAGATATACTTCCTGGTGCTTTTTGAGGATGTCAGTGAATGAGATGTTGGTTTTTTGAAAGGACTGTTTAGATGTGCATCTACAAGAGAAAACTCTTGGCTACAGATTTGGAAAGCGAAATAGAAGGTATAAAAGTTTATTGAAGAAAAGTTTACTGAAGTAGCTTTGATGCACCTAGTAGAGACACATGAATTGTTGAGGCATTTAGAAGGAGGAATTGAGTAAAAAGAGTTGATAACAAATTAATTGGTATAAATTTCCCAGCAGTATGAAGCTGTTAACTACTTTGAGCATTGTAACAGGATTCCTGGTGTTTCTTAGTAACTTGAAAGGCATACTGGGTGACTCTGCTGTGACAGAGGAGTTAGGTATTGATCTGGTTAAAGCATGACAATCTGGTAATCTGATAATGCATCAGATGGGCTGGGATCGTAAAAAGCCAATAGATTTCATGAAGCTCTAAAACTTGGGAATTTTTAAATAGAACCATGTAGGCTGGGATCGTAAAAAGCCAATAGATTTCATAAAGCTCTAAAACTTGGGAATTTTTAAGTAGAACCATGTGCTGTTATGGAGTTCTAGCATATAGATAATTTCACACCCATGGAGGTAACTTGGAGAATTATGGACCTTTAAAGTGCTTGTATTCCTTAGTGGGTTCTAAATTAACAAAGGAAAAGATCTTGGGCAATGGTCTGATTAACAGGATGGGTGCTTTGTCAGGGAGTAGCTGTGGGCAAAAAAGATAGCAATGTGATAGGAAGCATTATCACTGGAGTGGAGCGAGCAAGTGTGTGTGTGTATGTTTGTATGTGCATAATAAAGGTGTATTTTAAATGTTTATCTAGAATGGCTGCTGCGATTATTATGACTCCATAATGCAGAGTAAAACAAAGTGATAATGAGAAGCCTGGAGAACCTTTGCTTCCTAACACCCTTCTCCTTTTTTCCTTTTCTCCTTTTCCTCCACACCTGAAAGACTTGCAAATGATGCAGTAGTTTACTGTAGAAAAGCAGCAAGGGGAAATGGATGCAAAGTTTATAAAAAGCAAATTCTAAAATGGAAAATACGTTAGAAGATTAAGTCTCTGTGTTATACAGGAATGTGTTATACCATGAAATTAAAAAACCAAGAATCGATGACAAGTGATTGCTTTTTTTGCAGAGTGTTTTATTGGTGTGTTATTGTTTGCCACAGTAAGTTGTTAAGCCCAAATTGTGAAGACAGTTTTAAAAAAAATGTAGGTTTTGTGGGTACCAAACCCCAGAATTAAGATTTTTGGTGATCAAAGAGAAGATGCGAATAACAACAGTCTAGTAGAGCTCAAGAAGAGAATAATTCTTGAGTAAATTATTCGACAAATGTCTGTCATCAAGTTCTTGTTATCCTACAATGTGATTTCCTCTGATTCATATTAAATAGAGTAATGGACCTACTAGACAACTGGTATTTGGTGTTCTGTATCACTATAATGGTTAACATGTTACTTTTTAGGACTTCAGGATTTATATTCTTTCTTTAGGCTTCTGAATTACTAGTTATGATTTGCTCTGTTTTGCTCGACGGTATATAAACTTGATTTTGAATATTTTTTTTTTCTTCCCCTTCTAAGGACTATGTACTGAAGGCCTGTACCGTGTTAGTGGGAATAAAACAGATCAAGACAACATTCAGAAACAGTTCGATCAAGGTAATGACAGATTTTATTATTTAAAGCCAAACCAGGATTTGAATCCTCCATGGGTTTACTGTAGCGCAATATAAGAGGGTTGCACTTTAAATCTGACATCCGTAGCACTGAGTGCCTAATGCTCTGGTCGGTTGTGTTGATATAGTCCAGGTCCTTACCAAAGAAGCTGTGTATAAAGACGGGATAGAATCTTGTTGAAGCTGGCTTTATGAGCTATTAAAATATTTTCTAGGTGGTATCCTAGTGTTTACAAGAGTTTAAATGCAGTCTAAGCTGCTCCTTGTGTTAATGTCAGTCCTAGGCATGGAGGCATTCGCTTTCCCTCCAGTTGCCGTAGTTCCTGATACTTTCTTTATTGAAAGTTCTTTTGAACTCTGTGACAATCGTCTTTGGCGATTAAATCTTGATAATAAATTTCTAACACAGCTTTTCTTGTGCTAGAGTATGCTGGAATGTAATTGATAGGTTATGCTCTTCATGTTGATGTGTTTAAAAGAGAGGGTCAGCATAATTTCTTTTTTCTTCTGTTTTCCCATTCAATTTATGACCTCAGTTGATATTTCAAAATGGAAACACTTTCTTAAAAATTCTTGGATATTAATCATGAACTGGAGCCTGTGAAAAATAGTGAAATTCAACCTAGAAAGACAGAGTAAATGTACTAATTTTATGCACCTCGCTATGCTGTTTCAGATAATCTGACTACAATGCTGGATTTTCCTCAGTTACCTTATTAAAGGATGTTCCAGGGTTTGGGGGGAAGTGGACTTCTGGAACATTAACTTAGCATTTTCAAAATTTCAGTTTTTAGATACTTGAAGTTCTGCATTTTACAGTGCTTCTGTTTCTTGCCTTGATTTAAAAGTTATGTGTAGCATGTTGTTGTTGTTGTTATTATTATTATTACTATTATTATCATCATCATATCTCTAGTTATAAAGCATAAAGCTTCTGTTACTAGGGAATCTAGCAATAGATTACATGGCCGTGTGCAGTGACAGATGTGTTTTGTTGTCCTTTTTTAAAAGGTTTCATGTGGTCACATGAACACAGTCACATGCGTTATGCAAATTAATGTGCCCTGTATAATTTTCTAAAAATTGTTGTGTAAAATCGATTGATCAGAAGTCAATCAGTGGCAAACAGAAAGGCATTGAAGTCTGCATGGAGAATTAGACAACTTTATGGTCTTCTACTGTTTTCTTGTACTGACAGTATTTGATTTCATGTGGGTCAAAGTGATGGCAGCTTATCCATAGATTCACCTTCTCGTGCATTTTTAACAAACGTGCAATGTTTTAATTTTCAGTGTTTTGAATAAATTCTTGTTTTCATTAAATGCTACGAGGAATGCTAGCTGTAGGTTTTACTTACCTTGCTGTTCAATTTTGTTTTACAGATCGTACTATCAGTCTAGAGTCTATGGGAGTAACAGTAAATGCAGTGGCTGGGGCGCTTAAAGCTTTTTTTGCAGATCTGCCAGATCCATTAATTCCTTACTCTTTGCATCAAGAGTTGTTAGAAACATCAAGTAAGTAATAAGCAATCTTGTCTTGATCTTATTGTACATTGATTGCCTGTGTTGCAATTTTTACTTCATTGTAAGTTGAAAGGACTCACTGAACTGAAATATTTTTAAAGTTGCTAAGACATGTACATTTTAAAATAATTTTAGAATTAAAAACTATGTGATGAAAGAAGTGAAATACATTACATTATTTTTTCTTAAATAAGTTGTGACTTATTATTTCTCAATTTCCTAGAAAATTTAATGAGAAAAATCGACTTTTTTTCGTCACTGTATTTGTGCTGCATATAATGAAAGCTCCTGGAACTGTATACCAGTTGTTAACAGTGGAAAAAACATCTGAGTTACGAAAGTTACTACATTCGAAGCAAGCTTTAGAAATCAGACACATCTGTGGAATTCTTATGATAATTACCTTTTAGAATTTTTTTCAAATTCTTTCTGAACTTGCAGGATGAAACGCTTAATTTTGTTTGCCTTACAAACATTTTTGAGACACTTCAACGTGAAACAATTCAATTGCTCCCTTCTGTTAAGGAGTATCTGTCTTGTATTGGCAGCAAACTGTTTCAGAAGAAGACTACTGTGCATTTTTGCGGGATATAGCTGTGACATACAGTATTCTTTTTGTTCCAAACATAAAAGTAGTAGTCTAAACCTAAGGCTTGAGCTTGGACTTGGTTAATATATACTGAATTTCTCATGGACTATGTTTGGACGATATTGGTAGACACCTATTTGTGATATTTCTGCTGTACTTTTCAGGCAGATTGCTTGTTTAATGTAATTGGTTAGGTTTTATTTTTTCTTAAAAGTGTTAGCAGTTCAATTTCAGTCAAAACAGGCAACAGCTTAAAATATAAGTGGACTTCCTGTTTTAAAGTGCCATTAATACTATTTTACATTTCTGTTCGGAAATATTGGAGCATATTTAACATTATTTCTATGGTACCAGGGTGCATCAGATTTCTCTATAACAATGCAGTCAAGTTACAGAGGCAAACTTCTACTCCTTTCCATGATATGAATTATAGAAGCATAGAATCATTTAGGTCGGAAAAGACCTTTACGATCATTGAGTCCAACTTTTAACCCAGCAGTGCCAAGTCCACCACCAGACCATGTCCCTAAGCACCACATCTACACGTCTTCTAAATACCTCCAGGGATGGAGGCCCCACCACTTCCCTTGGGCAGCCCGTTGCAGTCCTTGACAACCCTTTCAGGGAAGAATTTTTTCCTAATATGCAATCAAACTAACCTTGGTGTAACTTGAGGCAATTCCCACTTGTCTTACTGCTTGTTGCATGGTTGAAGACAATGATCCCCACCTCGCTACAACCTCCTTTCAGGCAGTTGTAGAGAGCAATAAGGTCTCCCCTCAGCCTCCTCTTCTCCGGGCTGAAGAGGTCCCTCAGCCACTCCTCATAAGACTCGTACTCTGAACCCTTCACCAGCTTTGTTGCTCCTCTTTGGATGTGCAGTTATCGCGGAATAGAAATATGTTCTGCAGGATGTGTAGTTAGCCAATACTTAATGATATTCTCCACAAGAATTTGGGCAGCAGTATTAGGGTTTTTTTGTTTTGTTTTGTTTTGTTTTTAAAGGTGTAATTTTATTCCATAGTCCTTTCTTATATGTTGCTTATTTCCTCTTTGAAGCATAATGTCCTCTGAGCCTGTGAAAATCTCTGTTCTCCTCTAAAAAGTATAATTAAAACAGCTGCACCAGGCTCATTCATAATTTTTTTGAGTAACTAATAATCTTAAGATGTTATAAGTTTGTGTGAATGTCTTCCTTTCATCAAATCTTTACAGATTCTTAGTCCAAATAAATCTTATAGATATTTCTAAGTCATAACATTTTGCAAGCAGAGGAAAATCTAGCAAGAAATGACCCTATCACATTGTTAGTTATCATTATACAACCAGCAATGAGCTAATCCAGTGATTCTTTGCTGTTAAAAGCGATAAATAATTCTACTGAAATGCATATAAATATTTTTGTGTTCAGATAGTTAATCTCTATAATAAAAAGGTTATTCTGTGCAGTAGGATATACCAAATAGGAATTTTTTAAAATATTTTCTCACTAGATATTTTTCTGTGGCTATCTTATCTATACCATTATACTAGGTAAAAGACTTACCAACACTTTATTCAGTATGTCTTTCTAGATGTGTCAAAAATGTCACTTCTTTCTATAGAAATCATGGATAAGACAGAACGACTACACGAGTTAAAAGAAATTGTGAAGAAATTCCACCCAGTGAACTATGATGTCTTCAAATATGTAATAACGCATCTAAACAGGTTTAGTATTTTTCTACTAAAATTTTGCTTGAAGTTGTAATGATTGAAAAAAAGATTGTGTTCATAATAACGAAATGACTATTAGAATTGAAAATTTCATGCTGCAGTGCTCATTTGCTAGTATTAATGTGCAAAAAGAAACTAGGAGTTAGAAGTTGATTAGAAAAGGTTTGTATATTCTATTCTGAGATTTTATTGACTTATAAATTTATATCTGGCGTCATAGCTCATCTTTGCTCCTATAAAGTTACAAGAGTGATTGTTGTACATAAAAAAAAAAGAGTAACTGTGCCCCACAGTTACATTTCTTTTTGGTTGGTTAGCTTTGTTTGTTTTTTATTTTCTCCAGGAAATGACTTTTAAAATTTTGGACTAATACAGGTTTTAAGTGACCTGAAAGTGATTTGGTGTAAATCCACCCCCACTCCCCTCCTGCCACGCCCATTAAAGCAGAGCAAGCCTTGGTCACAGTCTAAAATGTAGCATCCAAAAACCGCACTGAATAAGTAAAATGTAGAACAAAGCTATAAGTAACAGCAAATGTGTTACATTTGCTTCCTAAATGTTGCCTCTTGCAATGAAATTTAATGGTTTTCTCTCAAAAAGATATTTCTCTATTTACTAAAATAAACTGAGATTAGTAGATGTATCCTACTTCATAATCTGACCCTTTATGTGCACAAGTGTATTATATTCAGTCGTAAAAAACAGGAATAAAAAGACCATCTTACTTATGTTCTTTTCTCAGCTAAAATGGGATTATTCTCTGAAATTCACTGAATGTGATAAATTACATTATTAAAAAAAAGCTAAAATAATAATTTTTTTTAAACAAAAACTTTCTTATTCAGTAATCTGTCACTTAGTGATGAGCTTGTGATATTTTTTTCTGCAGTTTTAGCAGATCGTTGAGTTTGTAAGGGACCTACCTCATTGGTTTGGCAGTCAACTAGAACAGATTGCCCAGGGTGATGTCCAGTTGGATTTTCAGTATCTCCACGGAGCAGGAGACTCCACAGTCTCTCTGGGCAACCTGTGCTAGTGCTCAGCCTGCCTCACGCTGAAAAAGAGTTTTCTTGCACTCAGCCAGGATTTCCCATTTGTTTATGCCCTTAACTTTTTGTCCCGTCACTGGACAGCACTCGGAAGAATCGCAATCCATCTTCTTTACACCATCCTATGGGATATTTAAAACTAATGATAAGATTTCCCCTGAGCTTTTCCAAACTAAGCAGCTTTTCCAGACTTTCTGAGCTTTTCCTCGTTTGAGGGATGCTCGGTTTCTTAATGGCCTTGTGGGGCTCGTTCCAGTCCATCCATATGTCTGTTGTGCTGGAGAGCCCAGAGCTGGACCCTGTACTTCAGAGGTGGCCTTTGCAGCACTGAACGGATGGGAATGTTCACCTCCCTTGGCCTGCTGGCTGTGCTCTTAAGGCAGCCTGGGGTGCCCTTGGCCTTCTTTGCCACTGGGGCACGTTGCTGGCTCACGTTCAATTTGATGTCCACTGGGAATTTCAGGACCTTCTCCGCAGTGCTGCTTTCCAGACAGACAATTTTGTGTGTATACACCAATAAGCTTTTCATAACATGTAAGTTGTTAAATTGTCCTGGACTAGTGTGTGTGTTGGTGTTTTTGCAGGTATATATAATGATCTAACTGGACACTTATTACGGGGGCAGAAGTGAGACATTTTAACTTCTCTGTTTAGCCAGCAGAGAGAGGATAGGTGCTCTCTGTTGCTGTTTGGAAGAAGTCTTCTCTTTTCATTGAATGTATGAAAAACTTTAGAATTTAGGCTCCAGCTTTTATACTTCTCTCCATCATATGCACAGCTTGCTAAAGCTTTATAAAGTTGTTGATTTTCCTTTGCAGGGAAATGGATCAATTTTTTCAATTTCATTCTTTCCAAATACAAATCTACTTCTAAAAATCATATTAATGGATATAATTATTCCATGTATTTACATATTACAGAATTGCAAGGTGTGCTTGTGTGTAAAACCAAACATCTCAAACGTCACACAGTTCCTGGTTACCTGAAATATTACATTAGTTCTTAATGGACCTGATAGAAATATTTGTGGAATAATGACCATCTCTGAATAGTCAGGGGTCTTCAGCTTGTCACCTATCTGTATAGCACAGCTGAATGTACAATGTCAAGTACCTGGATCGCTGCAAGTAAAAGAGCTAAATATAGTTTAAAAAAATCCTGAATGGGTTCTAATGCATGCATATCTGCAATCATAGGAAAGGTGTTAATCATGAAAGTCATGATTAATCATAAGTCACGTACACCGGCCTTTACTCTCCAGTCCACTCTTTTTCTTTTAATGATGACTGATTTATGTTTTGGGTTACTAGTAACAAAATAATCTTCAGAAGTAAGAAAGGCTGTCATTTTTTGTCTTGTTTGCACTGTCAGGTAGTTGTTTTCCATTCAGTAAGGAAACTGCTTGACCATAAGCAATTGCATAAGTATGTAGAGGTAGATATAGATGGAGGCAGGATCTTAAAACTAAATTTTTTACAGTCTGTATGTATTTTTAAGGGATTTTGTGGTAAATTACTGGTAGTATATAATCAACATGGAAATGTTCATTAAATGAGGTAAAACACTTCTGCGTGACGGAACAGTTGTCATCACAAACTAATGCTTTAAGTGCTTTGGTTTTATATCATATGTACATAAGCAGTGTGGTATTGTTGTATAGTTAATAGTGGTTGGTGTTTGATATTATTCTGGTCTGTCCACAAGCTTAGGAATTGGTTATTGAAACAAAAAATGCCATTACCTAGATGCATTTGTTATTGAAATGTGAGAGACCAATAACCATGGGAATATAATAAGTGACAGCAGTGAGATGACAGTGTGATAAGCACCTTTCAGAGCGTACTAGCCAGCTAATTGGGATTGATTAACCCTAAGCGGAAATGACTTTTAGAGGTGGAGTTGAAACAGGACAGTATTGCATTGACGTTGGCTTTTTTTGATATTGGCTTTGTTTTATGTTTGTTCTTTGATAACGACTCCCTTTATACCTGGGGGATAAGGTGGCTTAATGTGCTTCTCAGGCCGGGGAAGACATAGCTCTGCAGCTTCTAACCTCAGGTTTATGGCCTGGAGTTCCTGAAGAGTTTGCAGTAGAGGAAGATGGCAGGATCAAGGGAAACAGACTTAATTTTTCATTTTGAGTGAACGTAAAAGAAGGTGAATAGACATTTGCCAAGCACTTAGAAGATTCTGAAATAGTTCGGGCAAGTTGGGTAGGAGATGGCATGCGGATTAATAGGTTCTTGTTGACCTTAGAAAGGACAGAGGCAAAGTTTTAATGCAGGAGAGAATAAAGTTGATTGTTTGTTGTTTAATCTATTTGAGAGCTGCAACTGGGAAAGAGGTGAAATGCTCTTCTCCTTTTCTCACTTGTAGCCACCAGTTCCCACTGCATCATTTTTTTGATCTGAAGATTATGCAGCTGCAACATGTTTTAAAGGAAGGCACAAATAGGGGAGATTTAATTTTCCATAGGATACGTTAGCTGATCTCAGACGCCGTGTGGCCACCCTGTGGTCTAATGCCAGAAAGTTGGTGGAGAGGGAGAAGGAAGAGTGGAAGAATGAAACTTCACCCATTGTCCACAGCAGCAGTGGTCTCCAAACAGATCAGATTTAAGAAGCGGTATGAGAGAGGCAGCAAGCAGCGCACCTGTCAGGGGGTGAGGAGAAGGTGCACGAGAAGACCAAACACATCATGAAATCCTAGAGGTGCTTAAGGCTGTCAGAGGGTATATGTTTTAGCCTGTGCAACTGAAATGCCGTTTGAAAGGTTTTTAAATTCAGTGCAAAAATGACAGGAAAAAAGCAATCTGCAAAATAGATGACCTGACTTTTATTTCAGTTTTATTACACAGCAGGTGCTATTTCCTCCTTGGTTTTATGACTTAACCTTGTTATATTTTGTTCTCTAATGAAACACTGTTATGGGATTTGAAATCCCTTTTGGTGTTTTTTGTTGTACTCATTTCAGGGAAAAGGTACAGGCAGTTCTGTTTCAAAACTCTGAGAGATTCATTGTCCCATCACAATATCTTGCACTTAAAATTTATTTACTGGTTTGTAAGTCTCATTCATTGTTCTATCTCTAGAGTATAGGCCAGGAGGAATTTATATATGGAAGAATTCAGTATAGGAAGTAAAAAACATACTAAGCAAAATGTAAGCTTACAATTATGTTTTTGGCTTCTTTAACCCTTAAATGAAGTTAAAATGTAATTTTTTCAGGAAAGAAATTATCGTATTGTTATTCAGAAATAGTATCCAAATATCCTTTGGACCAAACATTCCAAACAGATTGAGAGGCAGTGTTTGTGTACTCTCACACTATTTGGAATAAGTAACGCACATGCTAAAGTGGAAGTCTACCCTTGACGGTTACCACTATACATGTATTGTAAATAAGTGAAAATATTTTCTTATAGCATTAATTCTAGTGTTTACTATGGTTTTCACAGCTTTTGGAATCTATGGACTGCAGCCAGCTGTCAGAAGTTCTAGCAGTCTGCTCTTGTTAATCATGAAAATAGTAACTGACAAATTGCTTAAGTTTTATTTCCTATCTATTTCTGCAGAACTCTGAGTTACCCCTGTGCTATCTGTTGTAGTACAGGAGTTGCACGTTCCCAGCTGAGTGTATATCTTAGGTTGTTGTCACATTTATTAACGCACATTTCATGTAGCTGTCACTAATTACTAATAGGTAAAATTGTGATGTTACTTTTGAATGCAGAGTATTTTTAGAAAACAAAATGTCTTAGCTCTTTCTAGCCTGTGACTCTGAAAAGCAGTGCATTTTTTTCTGAGGAGTCATTTAATGGTAGATGATAAATTTCGTAACGGGATAGTTTATTGATTTTGATGGGGTTTTTTTGTAGCAGTATTTTTAGATTGTAAGTGAAGAACCTGTTTCAGGCCCTGCTTAGAAGCAGGAAACTCCTAGAAACCCAGCTGAAATCTTTTGCTTTATGCACTGAGAAATAAACCAAAAGTAATCTGTTGATATTGGTGCAAATGCTGTTGCTGATCAATATGAAAAAACCTGCAGACATGCTTTAATCAACACTTGTGGGGTTTTTTGTTTTTTTTAATTTTTTTTATTTTTAGCATGCGAGCTAATGTGATGCCTCTTTCTTTGAGTGGCATAGATGTTAGTTAATACCTGACTACTCTACAGAAAGAAGCCATTTCTGTCATTTTTCTTCTAGACATTTTAACTCATGCAATTTTTAATTTTATGAAACCCTGTAGCTGATTGAGAAGCATAAAGCTTGTTTGTTATTATCTCTTCAAAATGTAGGTAGAATGTTGAATTTCTTTCCTGATTGAAAGTTTAATCAGATTTATAGTTGTTAGCAACCCAAATCTAGGAAAGTGATGGCTTCTGAATTTTATTCCACATAATCACGTAAAAAACCCCAAGAACAATTATTTTATGGGCAGCTGGAGGAAAGTTACAAAAGTCTTGAGATTATGCGATAATAATGCTTACAGTTAGGGAGCTGTGAAAATCTTGGTAGTTGATTTTGTACTTGTTTTAATTCATTCTGTGCGTGTCGTTCTCATTTCAGGGTTAGTCAGCAATGTAAAACCAACTTTATGACTGCAGATAACTTATCGATTTGTTTCTGGCCTACTTTGATGAGACCCGATTTTGAGAACAGAGAGTTCCTTTCTACCACCAAAATCCACCAGTCGGTTATAGAGACCTTCATTCAACAGTGTCAGTTTTTCTTTTACAACGGAGAGATCGTGGAAGCCCCCAACCCTGTCGCGTGTCAGCCGCCGCCTCCCAGCAGCGCGGTGCAGATGGTGGAGCCGATGGTACCTCTTCAGCTACCGCCACCGCTGCAGCCCCAGTTGATCCAGTCGCAGTTACCAGCAGACCCTCTTGGGATTATCTAAGTGGAAGGTGATTGCAGGCAGCCTGGCGCTGGACAGTAAAGACGAGCTGTAGACATGCATGTTTCAGGATACAGTAATGTACTTCATATTTATGAAAAATTATTCCCATCCAGCTGACTGGACATCCTTTTGTTCTATCCCGTACTGTGTTCCTCATTTGTACACACTGCAGATACAAACTATGTGATAAGCATGACTGGAGAGGTTTAATTTTTAAAAGCAAAAATAGCTATAAAGTACAAAGCTGCTGCTGCATGATACCTTATTGCAATCACTATATCATTCCTGTGACAGTTTGTCACAATATATTGTGAATAAAATTTTTCTATAGAAATTTAATGATTTAAAAAATTACATTTATGAAACATTCAGTGCTTACAGCCTGCTTTATGGCTGTTTTTGTTATTTAACATGCTATTTTTGGCAATTTTATTCACATTCGAGCATTCTGTGTAAACAACTAAAGCCCAGCTATAGTTTATTTTGTAATCTCCTGGCTACTTATGTGATGGTATGCTTAGGATGGTTTATGGAAGAATGCAAAATGCACTGTTGAGAATTTTACAATCCCTCACCATCCATCTTTACTTGTAAGTAAACCTGTGGACAATTCGTTAAGGGTGGGTGAACTTGCTTATTATTTCTTACAGCACAATACCAAGGACATGCTTGTTGTAAAAGTGAGTTTCAAATATTGTACAAAAATTTTGATGTTGCCTACTTATTTCTTTATGTTCCATTACTGAACTAAACATTTTGTAAAACTGTTAATTCTGTAAACAGCTGCATGTTTAAAAGATCATTGATGGTCTTGTAAACTTAATCTAATATATTTTAGATATTTTAATTTTTCCCACTTGGGAATACATGTAGTGTTTAGAAGATAGTTCATGACATTTTCATATAAGGTTATATAACTTTTCATACATAAACATGAATTTTGTTGTAGTAAAATTCTCTAAACCAAACAATGTTTTAATCTAGGACTTCAATTAATCTATTCTTTAAATCTATTTTTATGTGACCCTTTAAAGATATACAAAAATGCATTGCTAATACATAGCAATAAATACTTTGGGTACTGACAATTAACCTCTTTGGAGTGTATATATATAAAACCACATAAACTTGTATTCATATTTTTTTCCTGTGGTATGTTGTACTAAAAATTCAAATGACTGATTATTTTTTTTGCACCATTTTTTTTAAATTATCTCTTTTTTTCATTTATTTTACTTTTACATTGGTACCAATTTTGCTGTAAAAGAATGCTGCTTAATTTAAACAAATCTTTTGGTTAAATATTTTGTTAGTGGTAAAAAATTTAGAAGGTTACAAATTGTAGCAAAGGGGAGACCATAGATAAACACTACTTGTGAGACTTTTCATAGCAGCTTTTTTTCTTTCATGCTCAAAATACACCTTTTAAGGTCTGCAAAGAAGAAAACAGTTTTGGCTCATTCAGCTGCTAGAATGTTTTGTGTAGTTTAAAAAAAAAAAAGCTTTATGATGGTCACTGTTGTAATCTTCACTTATAACAAGATTTAAGATCGTCTTGTATGTATTATAGTAAATAGATGATTTTGAGAATTAAGGCTTTTAAGAGTTTGATTTGCTCCATTTTCCCAAAATAAAAATTGCCTTTCCCACTTATGTCCTAGGTATTGTACTTCTAATTATGACTTGGATTCTAGATTACTATGATACCATAAACCCGGCTGCTGTTTGAAGTACATGTATATTATAAATTATCTTGATATTGTGTTATATTCTTGCAAGTAATTATCTTTTCTAAGAAAACATAAACAAAAAAGAAAAGTCATCCCTATTCCTATTGCAAAGCACACAGGAATTAATAGTACAATAAAGTCTGTCCTGTAAATTGTAGTAGTATTAACTTGTTCTACTTCACCTGTTGTCTATATATCTTTTATTTATAGCTGTCAATCTAATCTTGGCATGTTTAGCAAAGAAAATGAGACTTCAAGAGTTTTATAAACTATTTCTAGGTTGCTAAAGAATTTATTTTTCTACTGTATATGGTATAGACAAAGCATCAGCTGTACAGGACACAAGTCTATTTCTAATAGAATTAAGTTTAAAAATAAATGCCAGTCATATCCATATTTAAAAGTTCTATCTATAGAGTATCTCCAGTCTTTGTAATGTGAATTACATTTTAAACTTTCTACAAATTCCAAGTTGATTGCCATAATATTTAACTGATTTTTGAATTCAGTTTTTAGAATAATTTACATTCCATTTTATGGTGAACTTTCATGTTGAAGCTGTGATCAGCAGTATTTGTAGGGTCATTTATTTCTTGTATATGTTGTTATGGCTGCATCGCTTCACGATTTTAAAAAATTGTAACACATTTGGACAAATATGAAAGTGTTACCACATTTACTGGGTAAAGCATAAAAAGAGAGGCAGTAAGAAGGCATGGCACGTGGTGCCTGATTGTCATGTGGAAGAGTTCCTGCGTCCCGGTTGCGTTATACAGATGTTATACGCAGGAACGGGGATGTGTAATATATACACTTTGGTATTTTTTTATGTGTTTGTGTGTTTATGTGCACAAGCATATGTGCACAGACTTGCATGCACATACACCCACATAGTGAAGTTTTTAAAAGAGACTAGGAAGTTATACCATCATTATTGAAGATTTGTAATAGAGCTTTCTCTATTTTTATTTTTATGAGTGCTATAAAATGAGGAAGCATGTCACTATATAAGAATTCCACATACCTTGGCTCATGTAGTCCCTTCTAGTTTTAATGAAAATCCAAACAATAATAACTATATTTTTAATGTGAGCGTTTTTACAGTAATATCTATCTCGATAAAGATACAAATGTATATTATTTTTGGTTGAGCATCTCAGTGACACTTTATGGAGTAGTTTGTCTTTTTTATGTAATGTTGGTATGGACATACTGCAGCGTATTGTCTTTCAATGTTTTAGCAATTTTAAAATCACAGTCCCGGGTTATAAAAGTGCCATTTTAAGTAATGCTTAACAGATTATTTCAAAAGTCCTTACCCTCCATGATCCTGTGGAATTTAAACACATATAGTGTAAATAGATCGCAGATGTCAACTTGAGTGGAAAGAAACTTTTTTGTTGTTGTATGTTTTTTACATTATTTGAATCCTGGTTGCTAGGAAATTATAGATACGTTTATTTTTAGTTGCTGGAGTTTAGCTTCCAATAGTTACGATAAATATAGAAAAGCTATCAATTGGAGATTTAAAAAAATTACCCTTAGCTTATGTGCTCATTGAAGTTTTTTTCAGTAATTGTGATGCTGTTTGTCGACTGAAAAAATCACACATAAAAAAGTTCTAAAGTCAAAATTTTGTTTTGTTCATAATGTAATCTTTTGTTGCTACATCAGCAGAATACTGCAGTGAATTAAATATCAGTGAAGCTTATTCTGTATAAAAGATGCAACGAATAAACTGCTAAGATGCTTACTGTGTATAATGTTCAGTTTAGTTGCCTACTAAATTTTTAAAGGCAAAAGCATCCTATCTTTCACATACCCAGAGATGAAATTTAGCAGTAAATCTTGCTAAACTGAGTGCACCAAGTGTCTAAGGCGTTCTTGGGGTGGGGAGGGGGGGTTTCTCTTCTTCCCGCGTTTGATGTGTCTTTTAAGCTGCTGAATTTCGGAAGTGATTCTCAGCACGGTGAAGACTCTGTCTGTAGGCAGTGCACCCCCCAAGATGGATACGTGCATACTCGAGGGAACAGACCTTGAAGGTGACAGAACGTAAGATGTTCTATTTTACTGTTACGTGCATGTGAAATTCTGTGGCTCATGTGACCTCTTGCATTTTTCACCTGATTGAGCTCCTCAGCAAGAAGGGCCGTGATTATGGAAATCAGTTTTTCAGATGTCTGCCATGCTTAAGGAACGGGTCTCTTAAAATTACTTCTAGTTTAAAAATACCATAGGAGAAATAAAAACTGAGTTTTTAGGTCAGCTTTAGTATTTCAGAGTTGTATGCTATTGGTCATAATTCTGCTAACTATATAGTATAAATCCAACTTTTATAACAGTACTGCTTTTAATTTCTGTGCAGGCAACATCTATGCTTTATTTGTTTCTCCAGAGCATCTTGAGTCATAAGGCTGATGCAGAAATAACTGCAAAAACTTCCTGACAGCCTTTAAATCTGCACACTGTTCAGTTTTTATTATATATCTTAACACTTGCAGATATTCAGTGTGCAAATCTCATTTTTTTAGATCGCTGTATCAAAAACCATCTCTACTGAATCTTAAGCATATAATGCAGTGTTCATGCTTTACAGCAGACCACAAGTTTCTGACAAATAGCTGTCCTTGAGAACCAAAGTGTAACATTAGCATTCACTTATGTCAAATTCAATCCCTCAACTAATTCATAGTTTCCATGGAATCAGAAGGGATGAATTTAATCTGTCATCACGGCTAGTGAAAGCGAGCACTTCCTTCCTTCTCTTATTGACAATTTCTTTCCCAAGTGTGTAGATGGTCCGTGTTACAGCTGTTGCCCATATGTTTCTCATCTTCCTTATAAAATACAATGCATGTGTGTTTAGACCTGTTTTTGCTGCTGAATTGAGTTCCATTGATGCCTAGCCAATGTTCTGGTGCTTTTGTACTAGAGAATAGGGTTTAATATACCTGATTACATTAACAGCAATTTGTCTGTTACTGGGTTTTATTTGGCGTGATTTAGACAATATGGAAAATGAAATAATCTCACTGAATGCCTACGGTGTAATAACTGTGATTTTATAGTCTTAGAGTGTGATAATAATGAAAGGCTGTTGTTGCTTCTGCTTACAAGCTGTTTGAAAAATGGTGGGAAGGGAATCTTGTGGTGGTGCTTCCAGCCATGACTGCGTGTCAGGTCTTCGTGGGTAGATACACTGACTTGAAGAGCATCTCTGGCTGCTCATGTGACTGACCTTAGGGGGCCGGTTAGCTCAGTCAGTTGAGCGTGGCGCTAACTATGCTAAGTTCGCGGGTTCGATTCCCATTCAGTCCCCATGTGTTGTCTGATCTAGTCGAGAGGTGGTGTCCCTGTCGGCAGGGAGGCTGGATTAAAATGATCTCTTAGGCCATTCTGTGATCTTGATCTGTGACCTATATATAGTGTAGCTGTAGCTTGTATTTTCCCAAAATTACAATATCACAATCTATGTTCTTGCAGACTTTTCTGCTTCACGGCTGAAGTCAAGGGACAGCTAAGTAGCTGTTTTTTTCTCTTCCTGCAGTTCTCTCAGCTTTCCCTGCTCTTGCAGGGTTTTTCTGAATCAAAAGTAGAAAATGTTCGGAGCGTTGAGTTCTTTGATTAACTGACACTTGAGTGCCATGAATTGGTGAAGCATCTGGAAAAAACCAAGTTGCACTATTGATGGCAGGTGGTGTGGTCTCCTTTTGAAGGTTACCCTTGGGACTTGGCAGTGTGACTGAGTTTTTGCAATGCCTGCCCTGGCTTGGTCATATTGACCCCAGGAAAGTTGGGAATGAAGAAGAGATCAAGAAACCTACCTCAAAAAAATCATGTACTTTGAACAGCTGCCTCTTAAAACACTTAGATGAAATTATTAAACATAGAATGTAGCAAAAAAAGAAAAAAAAAGGAGAATGAAACATACTTGGTCCATCATTAAAATGTATGTGTATATATACGTATGCTTATTTCTAACTTGGTAAAGAAGTAGCTGTTGATACAGTGGTTCTAATAAAGTAGCAGGTGGCCAGCCTGCTACCGATAAATATTGCTTACAAATCAGATGTTAAGTTTTGAAAACTGAATGTAAACAGATGTGTCTAGTTTTGATATCCTATCTGTGAGTTGTCTAGCTGTAATGTTGGTTTAATTTTGTTATCCTGTGTGGTCACACAAATAAGCCTGATTTTATGTCCTTTATTTAACTGCACTAGAGTTGAAAAGTTTCATTCACAGATGAGTGCTTGCTTTATCGTTTCTTCTCTTAGCATTTCTTTTTGGCTTAATCAGTCTTAAAGTCAAAACTTACAATTTATAATATGATCATAATACTTGTCTCCTGTAAAACATACTGGGTCCCACGTAAAGTTTATAAAAGTCTGTCAATACGCTCTTGTCCCCTTCTGTCTGCCCTTGTCTGCGCACTCTTTGGCTATTTCGGGTATGCAGGACTTGGGGCAATGTCTGGAGGTTCTTATCACTAGGAGGTGGGT